GCTAGTTCATCTCTTATACAAACCATTCCTCGACTCATTGTTGTATAGATTTGCTTTGCACTTCATTTTGAACTTTTACGCACGAAACAAAACAAAACTGCACAACGAAGAGCTTTATTGTTGTTTATTAATTTATTTGATAAGGCTCAACCGAATTAACTTTACAGAGCCGAGGATTCGTGGTCACTATACAATACATCTTAAAACTATAGTCAAAAGGTACAACACAATAAACACTTTATCTTCCGCTATCCAAAAAGCCTCCTCCATCAGAACTGGAGCCGCTTCCAGTAGTTTCATTGTATGGCACATTGTTGTATGCCAACGAGGGTCAGAGCGCGTCCATTGCAGCAATGGACACAAAACGTGGTCAGCACTCACACACTCATCACGAAACGGTTGCTTTCCAAAGTCGACGACGGATCGACCGAAAGAACTGCTGATGAAGAACAATGAGGAGGACCACACAATGGTTGCTGCCGAGAAAACAGACGATCGCGTAGCACACATCGAGAGTGGCCTGCTTTTGTCGACAGCCGAGTGAACACTGAAGAAGAGCTTTATGATGGCATGAACTTTTTTCACGAATGCCAGTAAGATCATTTGTTTTTCAAGGTTGCCAAAACAACTTGTTGTGCCTCCGCTTATCTATGGAATTTATAGTATCTATAGATTTCACCACCACCGATTACGTGAAGTTTTGCTTCAGTGTAGGTACCGTTTTCCGGGGGCGAATTGATCTCAATTGGGTTGTTTAGGGGTATTTGAGCTAAATACATATTCGTATTCTGCATTACAAATGGAACCGAAATCCAAAATTTAATCAATTTTGGTACACTGGAACTATTTTAAATAAGTGCACTACATTAGCTAAAATCACCATCTCAGTGTGCCTCAATGGGACTTTGTATAGGAGCGAGCTGTCAACTAATAGGTTTAACGGGTGTCCACTAAAAATAGAATTAAAACAATGGATTGGGGAAAAAACACCAGTTAAGTTTAGTTCAAACTGATTTAGGTCTTCAAACTGAGCTTAGTGCATATTGGCATACGGTCCGCCGTGCGCCGCAGCACGATATTGGAACATAACCGTAGAACCAACAATCAATACGAAACTAACGATTTTAAATTGGCTCACTACTTGACTACCCTGTTGGTCCCAAGCAAACGATTAACGTACCCCATTCCAGTCGAAATTCTAGTACTACGCAATGTTTGTTTTGATTCGCTATGAAAGTTTGACAGATAAAATGAGGGGTTATTGGTTTTTCCTATGTTTCGAGGGGTGTATCGATTAGCTTGCGACCGAAGATACAGTCGAAATTCGCTGGTTGGGCTTTTAATATTTGGGCTGCTTTTTAGTTGGGCCTCCACTGGTTGGGCCATGACCCAATTAAAAAGCAACTGGATGTCAAAATCTCATGTCAAATTGGATTTGACAATCGAACATAAATCCATTCAAGGGGGTGTCATATCCGTTTTGGACAACGCATTACCGTTAATAATTGTACACATTTGGAATTTGATCGAAAATTTTGAGTTTTCTTTTGAATTCTAAAATGAAACATGAACTAAAATATGTTTTGTCAGTTTCAATCTGCTGTGATTGAATCTGCTTTTAGTGAAATCTTCTCAACCACAACAAAGCATGCGTACACCCCCAATACAGTTTAGCCTTCTGTCAGTTGACCCAACTAACGAATCGAATTCGTTAGTTGGGCCGAGGTGGTGGCCCAACCAGCGAATTTTGACTGTAGTACCAGAGCTGAGCCAAAAAGTTGAGCTCGTTTCTTCGAGACCTTCTGGTCTTAGAGTTACCTGTATGGTAGAACGGCTGCCACTTCGATTTTTCGGATGCAGCTTTTAATCCTGTAGGGGAGATGCCTTCCAATTATCCTTGGATCTGAAAAGACCGATAAAATCCTCGATAGGACGACATTGGGATCTCACGATTTGGATTAGCTCGGCAGTGTACTCTGGGGATCTGATTTTCTTTCTACACACTATTTATTCCTTCCTTAGAGTCTTGCAGATGTGTGACTTCGAACAACGGAACTTTCTGGCCGCTTCCGACTTACTTCGTTGAACAAGTTGTGCAGCGAGTGGAGCGTCTTCTGATTCATTTTCTTCCCTGAACGGCCACTACCTCTCTTCCGGGTTACTGCCATGGATGCCCAGGATACGGTATACGGTGGATGCTGGAACATTTTACCTCTTAAAATGGTCCACCGTGTACTTTTTCCACGATCTTCGTTCGCTTGAAAGAATATTGTACAATGCGAAGATTCAGTCGTGTTCTTCGCATTGTACAATATTCTTTCAAGCAAACGAAGATCGTGATCGTGATACTACATGGTAGAGTGAAATAAAGTGTGTGAAAATTTTCTGTAGTGTGTAAGAATTCATTCACCTAAGGTGACATTTCTCTGAGAACGTTTGTGTTCTGTTAGAAAAGTATTGGAATCATTCTCATTTTTTAGTGGACACCCGTTAGACGAAAGATTATGGTAAATTACACAAAACAAAATCTTTCTAGTTTTTAATGGATCAATATTATTAATATAATATTATATTAAAGAATCTGATCAACACTCAATACGAAACTAATGATTTTAAATTGGCTCACTACTTGACTACCCAAGTAACAATTTCCAGTTGATGAAACGCTTTCGTTTTGATTTTGTTCAGCTGCATGTTGAATAATAATTGCACAATGTATTCACCACACTTTTATAAAACCCTTGTTTACACTGGTTTGGAGAACCTATACAACTGCAACACAAAGGTGTTGTCTAACGTATTCAGTAAAACGTTTACCCAAAATCAATTTCTTGTTGAAGAAACGCTTCCATTGTGATTTTATTCAACTGCATGCTGAATAATAACTGTACAATTTGTTTATTACAACTTCTGTAAAACTCTTGTTTACACTGGTTTGGAGAACCTGTTCAACTACAGCATTATATGTATACGCGGTATAGGAGTAGAAGCAACTTTTATACAACGTTTATAGATACATATTTAAACTCAAGCTTTATTATTTTGGTGAAAGCTCTTATACAACGTTTGTAGACACTTCTTGACAGCTGCTTTGAAATTTAGTAGAGAGTAAACCTGAGAGGCGTTAGTTGCACTCTTTTATGACTCCTAAATAATCATTGTACAGCAAGCGGTGAAAAGCGTTTATAGCACTTTTCAATGACTCCTTAACAACCGGATAGAAGCAACTTTTATACAACGAAGTAATGAAATTGGGTTGTTAGCGGAATGCTAAATAAAACAGCAAAAAAGGTTATCTTCCATTTAATTCCACTTAAATAATTTTGGTATCCATGACAGATACGTATTTCGACTACAATGTGCAGTCTTCATCAGTGTCACCAAAATTAATTAAGTGGAATTAAATGGAAGATAACCTTTTTTGCTGTTTTATTTAGCATTCCGCTAACAACCCAATTTCATTACTTCATTATGATGGCTACCAAGCCTTTGGGAATCTTCGTGACCAAAACTGTGTATGCCAAGCATGCCCACGCCAAAACTGCTCATGTTTCATACATATCAACTGATATGGAGAGGAAAATTTAACCATCTCTTTTCTTCCTGCATTTATTATACTTCAATACAACAAAAATGTGACATCACACTACCTATTATAATCAAGCCTAGAATCAGCAGCTACATCATATACCACAATCAGCAGTGAAGGACCAATTCTATTGACCACGAAGGAAGTTTAAAGCTCAGGTTGTACCTCAGGTAACCGAAAAGAAGCATTCCCTTTTGGAACGGGTCACTCCCGTCACTCCTGTATCGTCCTAGGCCGTGTCTATCCTCACCAACGAGGGAAGGTGGCTGAAAGGCATCCAAGCCACACACGAACGACAAGCCCCGTAAAACCGTCGGACAGGCAAACCACCACAGGAGCATTTCGTTTGTCCACAATTCGATTTATTAAACGAGCGATTTGATCTGCCAAATGGCCAAACAGATGCTTCAAACGAAATATGCTGTCAGACGATATTTTCTTTGATCAGAAAATCGAGACTACTTTGATCATTTTTGAGTAAATATGAGTAACTCAAATTTACTCGCTGCAAATATATTTACTCTAATGTCGTTTTCGTTTTTACTACACTACACCGGTGTAGTGTAAGCAGCAATAAGCACGAGTCACTGACAGTTCATCATCATTTGTTTGTAAACAAAGGTGCAACCGATAGCTACACCCTAAAATTTTTCGGTGTTCGGTGGTGTAGCACCGGTGTAGTATTCATCTTTGGTGTAGCTACACCGCAAAAACGAAAACGACATAAGTACAGCTGTCTTGCCCCCAGGGTGGTTCATATTATCATTAACATCAAAAATCTAACTTTTTTGTTTGAATAAATTAAGGTATACATTCTTCGGCAAAGTTATAGCTGAGCTAATTTCAAGCTACTCTGTTGAAAATAACTTTTTTGTATCTCTTAAATTGGCCGATTTAGAGCTACTTTCTTGAATTGAGTTAGGGTGGCTCTTAAAAAACAGTTTTTTTGCTCTAGTTTTCTTATTTCGAATTTCTCAGCAAAGGTGTCTTGAGATAACTGTTAGATCTTCAAAAGGCGCAAATTTTTGCCGCACAAAGTTTGTCAATATTTTTCGCCGATCAAGAGTTATTGACGTTTTTATACTAAAAATATGCACTTTTCAAATGTTAATATCTCTGGTTGGGGCAAACAAAAAGGTACGTTATTTTTTTAAGCTCATATAAAATCAATTTGAATTTATTCATATTTTTTACTATATTTGGGTATATCTTTATTTTATTAGAAGAGATACAGGCAACAAATTCCGCAATAAAACATTCGTCTTAAAGAGGTTTAAAATTCTCTACAAGATAACTTTCACGAGAAATTCAGGAAAAAAAGTTACACATAGCTTAGGCCTGTAGATACATATATTTGACGCTCGGTTCTCAGTTCGCATCATTAACTTGACATCATTTTTGCCCCCAACAGATCAGGGAGTATTCTTCACTGCATTCGACATGTCCGGTGCCACGCGCTACCGAAGTCTTTGGGAGCATCAATTCAAATCGTGCCAGGGTATCGTATTTGTCATCGATTCGAGCGATCGGATGCGATTAGGTAAGGAAGATGTACCTACACGGCGGCGAATGAGAACGACCCAAATTTGAGTTTAGTTAACTCATAAATCACATAAAGTGCGTTAATTTGCCTAATGTTTTCCCAGGTTTGTCCAGGAAAAATTTCCCGAGTATGAGAAAAGTAACGATTGGATTCACTCAGTATTAAAAGTAAAGATTGGTACTACTCCTGAATTGAGTAAAATTTTCGTAAAATTTTTCTCATTTCCCGGCAGATTTTCCAAGTTTTCACATGAAACCATAAGGCAAATTTACTCATCGCTGAGTTCCATGCATTTTTGGCGATTATGAGTAAACTAAACTCAAATTCGGGCCATTCTCATTCGCCGTGTAGAAGTAGTACAAAATGCTTAAAACATTAATTTATATCCTTTTCTTATCATACGCAGTGGTCGTGAAGGACGAGCTGGAACTGCTAATGCAGCACCCGGACATCGCCAACCGACGGGTACCGATCCTTTTCTTTGCCAACAAAATGGACTGTACGGATGCGCTGAGCAGTGTGAAGATTGCCGCCGGGCTAGGGTTGGAGAAGATCAAAGACAAACCGTGGCACATCAGCTCGAGCAATGCACTGACCGGGGAGGGACTGCAGGACGGCGTCCAGTGGATGGTACATCAGATTCGGGAGTGTGTCGCTAGCTCTAAGGATAATGGTTAAGAGTTGCGTCGTAGCGCGTAGCACAATAGATATCACTTCAATGAAACAGTAAATGTTATATACGAGTAATTGAATGTAAAAGCTGTAAGCTGTAGCGATTTGTGACCGTTTATTCAACATTCGAACTTATGTTAACTCCTGAATAATGTATGTGTTTTCTCCGGCGTCTATTTTAACGTGCGATGACGCGGCTGGGGTTGGATCGGCTTTCGAATCTGGCTCCTGCTTCACTTCATCTGGTAACATTTCCACGCTCACCATTTGGGAATCCGACAGATCGGATAATTCATCACGGGAGTCGAATTCCTCGTCCTCTTCATCGCTGTCTGACTCTGTGTCCGATTCGTCTTTAATTTGCATTTCCGTCGACGATAAGGCCTCCACCAGTTCTTTATCCGAACATTCCCGATGACTTTGCTCACTTTCCTGCAAATGAAGCGAACTTGAACTCAAATTAGCGTTCCTTAAATTAGGCGATAGATACTGACCTTCTTGGTCGACCGTATCGTCCGAATTTGCTCTTCCTTCTCGATAACTTTGGCTAGGACATCATTGGCTTTGTATATGTGAAGATTCGGTCTCAGTAGGGGTGGCTCATGGTTGTGGCCGGAATGCAGATAAAACGCATTGTACGATTTATCTACGTAGAGTAGCGTGAGACACTCGTGGCTCCTTCGCTGTTCACAGATCCAATGGGTACCATTCTTCCGGGGAACCGATGCACAGTATCGATATCCCCCGTAGATCAGGCCACAGTTGGAGCTCAGTGTCTTGTAGAAGTAGTATTCCTGCTTCGGTAGCCGAATCAATTTTCTGGCGATTGTCTGTGTCACTGGAAGAGTGGGCTGCGTGTTGCTGGTTTCAGCGCTCTTAACCGGCTGTTTCGACTGAACTTGTAGCCGCACGGAAGCCTTCCCCTCAGCATTCATGCGGATAACCACCTTAATCGGTTCGCCATCCTTCACCTGATCCAGCACGTTGGTATTCTCTATTGCACTCTTGGCCAGTTCGATTTGCCTTTCCTTCCGGTCGTTGGCTTTCTTCTCCAGTGCTTCGTTATTCTGTTGGCAGCGGGATTTATATCGGTGAAATTCCTCCAAACTCTCCACGCACGTGGAACAAATGAACGCATCCTTATCCTTTGCTGGATCAAGCTGGAATTTAACGATTATTAAGTTTACGACATCAATCTTATAGCGAATTCGTCTATTATCGTTGCGAAACTGAACTTTTTGTCAGTGAGAACCTCAACCTGAGCTAGGTTTTAAAAACAAACGAGGAAACTGGCGTTGGTCAGAAAACCTGCAGACCCAATCCAGGTTGGAACTTGGAACTGAATAATAAACGAATTCGCTATTAAACAATGCCAACACTGACTTCAATTTTCAGTAGCTCCCGAATGACGGTGGTGATGCCCTTCTCAACGTCGGTGGAAGCTTCTCCGATCGTCGTCAATTCGTTGTACTTTGTTGCTTCCGACAGGCAGAGCCGACAGTATTCCGGTTCCTCGTACTCGAACACCACCGTCACGTTGGTCATGGTGCGATTTGAATGAAATACAATTAATTTTTTCTAACGAAATTTTGCGATTAGAAACACCACTTGCTTCGGCACACAATTTTTTTTTTTTTTTCTTCTTTTTTCCAATGCTTTTTTGACATTTTCTGCTCTTCATGTTTACATCGGTGGTCGGTAAAGCAGAACGCCATTGATCGGCGAGCTCAGTCGCAGGGGTATCCGATGCAGTGTTTATGATGCATTTCACGAAATGAAAGCTGTCACAATCATGTGTTTTGAGTGATAATTTTTTTAGACCGGAGATTTGCATAACATTTATCAATTTAAGCCAGAATAGTTCAAATTCTCGACAGGATTAAGCAATTTCGCGGTTTGATTTTAGAGAGGACAGTGCGTGAAGCAACAATCAGACTTGAAGATGGCACCAGTAAGGCTGAGAGGAAAGAACTACGCACTTTTCGTTGGCAGCATCGTGGGGCTGATTGGATTGGCTTGCTATCCGATCATCATCCAGCCAATGTTGTACCCGGAGGAATACAGTAAGTAGTGGATTAAAATGTTGATGTAATGTGATAAGCTAATTGTGCCCATGCTAATCTAGAAAAAATGCAGCAAATTAATCGAGCACATATTCGACAGGAGGAAATTCAACCTGGAAGTAAGTGCTGTAGATTTAACTATACGAAAAATAAACTGAATCTGATTGTATTTTTTCTCATTATATAGACATGAGAGTTTGGAGTGATCCCTTCAAACCCAGAGAGGATAAACCGAATTAACAACTATGCTTACTGCAGATCATCCTTAGGGAATTAAAATTACTTATTTCCCTGCGGTTATTTTTAGTAATAAATGGTGGATTTGTATTGTTAGATACTTCGATAGTTTTGTAATATACGCTGTGTTCCTAAAAGTTGCAAAAGTGCATCCATTAGCTATTATTTTAGCTTTATTTTGTGTAATCAATATTATGTAGTTTCGCCGTGCCGCTGTAAACAGATGTAATGGATAGATGCCGCGTAACATTTGAAAAGGGGCGAGTCGGGCGTCATTGGTCTAATTTGTTATTACATCTGTAATACCAAATTATACCAGTGACCAGAGTGACGCTCGACTCGACTTACATAATAGGACCCATAAGCATGATTCCATAAAATAAGTGTACTTTATGGATCATTTTGTCGTTTCCTACTCTGTTGTCATTCAGGCACATGGCACATGCTGAGCTCATCAAGTGGGTCATTCATAGTCCTCACAATCATTAAAGAAACGTGTTTTGGTATGCGTACGAAAGACATGTTCCTACAAAATAGTAAATTAATACATAATCGCAATCGTTGCCCGTTCTCCACGAGGTCGAAACCATACCATAACAATTAATCATTTTGTCAAGCTTTTGCATTCATTTTCCATCAGATGATGTCACTGCTGTTGTTGGCGGTGAAATCTATCGGAAACTACACATAATCTGTTTTCCGTTAATCATTCACAAAGGACAGTGCAGTGCATAACTTGTCTGGTACCTCTATATATGCATTTAGATTAACATCCGAAGTCGATCCTTTTTTACACATTCTGCAAACAAAATAGCTCACCCCTCACAGCTGATTTCTATGAATGGGGCGGGGTAGAAAGTATCTTCAAATAGGTGAGAAGTGTCAAGGACAGCTGCTAAGCAGCCAAAGAAGCAAACCGCTCAGCACAGTCCGTGCTTTGTAGCAGTAGAACCAACAATCAATACGAAACTAACGATTTTAAATTGGCTCACTACTTGACTAGCCTATTGATCCCAAGCAAACGATTAAAGTATCCCATTCTAGTCGAAATTCTAGTACTACACAATGTTTGTTTTGATTCGATATGAAAGTTTGACAGATAAAATGAGGGGTTAGCGGATTTTCCTATGTTTCGAGGGGTGAATCGATTAGCTTGGGACCGAAGAGAGTACCAGAGCTGAGCCAAAAAGTTGAGCACGTTTCTTCGGGACCTACTAGTCTTAGAGTTACCTCTATGGTAGAACCAACAATCAATACGAAACTAACGATTTTAAATTGGCTCACCACTTTAGTAGCCTATTGGTCCCAAGCAAACGATTAACGTACCCTATTCTAGTTGAAATTCTATTACTACACTATGTTTGTTTTGATTCGCTATGAAAGTTTGACAGATAACATCAGGGGTGTGTGGATTCATGCAGAACATGCAGGGGTGAGTGAAATAGCTTGGGACTGCTTGGGACCGTTGTTCTGGTACTGAGTGAGCCAAAAATAATAATGATTTTCTTCGGGACCCAGTGGTCTTAGAGTTACCTCTATGGTAGAACCGCCGCCAGACCATCATCGAAGGACCCCACCGAACAGCACCAGCAAAAGCGAGGAGGACACAGATAAGTAGATAATAGACGTCTAAAATTGATTCCTTCTTTTGTTGTTTTACCCAAATCCGAACGACTTTGGGGGAAGTACCCTTGCTCGAGGCCGCCCGGTGTAAAGTCGGGCTAGCTCACTGAAACAAATCGACATGTACCGTTTATTGGATCCATCTTATAACATAGCAATGTCAGCAAATTTATTCATTTTATGTGATGATTGATAGATTCCATTGGTTTATCACTTAAAAACTATGACTGCGATGTGGAATGATTTCTATCATAATTTCACATGCTTAGTACTTGATAAAACTTTGCTTCGAACGTGGTTAGCGATAGGTAAGACGTATTTGAATATTGTCTGATATATTTAATGGTGAAAAACTGTTGATATGTCATGGGTGGGAATAGACATCTAGAAACTAATAAACTATGTCCGATTTGCATAGTTTTTAACGGACTTGGTTGTCATTGAGTAAGTGGTATCTGGGTGCCGAAACGAGTCCGGGCCAGAGCACTGGGAATCTTTGAGGCTTCGGAATGTGGTGTCCTTTCGGAGCACATTGAAAGTCACGCCGCGATGGTCGTCGAAAGACTCTTTTTAATTCATAGTTCAGATACTCTTTACAGCTAATTAATGATGATGTTTGCAATTTTACAAAATCGATACTCTATGATGGATAGAAACGCCTGGGACGGCGGTGACAATATTTGATAATAATAAACTACCTTCGGTACGCAACGTTGTTTTGAAACATGATTCTTTACTCGCCGTGGAACAAACGACCGCCAGTAGGTAAAAGAGGAAAGTCAGCAAAACATACCGTATGCACTTTTGCAATACTATTCGTTCGTACCTGACCTACCTTCTCTACTTTATCTGAATTGGTGATTCATCCCGGCTGTTTAGGCAAATGTAAATATAATTTAATATGTTTTACGGTGAGAGATGTTCTAGACAACTTGGGTACAGCACACTAATGAAAAATCATAGAAGTTTGCACTATGAGAAAATTCAGTAAAATATACCTGTTTTCATGTTGAATATTGCTCACTAAAAGATATATCTTATAAGATAATCATGTATATTTTATTGGAGATGTAAATAGCCATGTAGAAACTATTGGACAGTCATTTAACTTTGCAGTATAGGAAAACATGTATATCTCATTGTAATAGATTCCTTTGATTTTTGAGGTTTTAAGATTGTAAACAGATCTATCCCAATCATTATATAGTCATATAGATTTGCCTTTTGAGAAATCCAACAGCAAACTTTTGTTTTGGCATGTTTTTCTGGGATGAATATTAGACTGATGTAAAATTTGTCTTTTTCGCTCCACAGTGCTTAAATGGTTTCAAATCGGGTCCTGATTAGCTTCACAAAGTTACAACTCATTTGGTTAGAAACAGACTTCGCACAAGCCATTTGAAGTTTACATGTAAATTACTATAGGAAATATCAACTTTTTGTTCATTTCCCTCTAGTCTTTTTCCATATTGAGCTGCAATCTTTGCTGAAGATCGTTTCTATGTAAAACGAGACAGGAAAAAGTTATTAATTATTTAAGAGATTGGTAAGTTTATGACATGATCAAGCAGCTGCTCTGTAGGCAACACTGTATTTTGCAGTGTGACATAGTAGCCATGATTTTTGTGTCCTATTCAACGCCCCAGAAACACCAATGTTGCCTGCTGAGCAGTTGATTGAGCATGATCATAAGACATCAGTGCATTGAACCATTGATAACTGTCGATTCTTGCTTTTAATCAAAAAGTGGTGGTTTCTCACCAAATGGGTTCACATTTTGAGAGGTTAGTCAGGATCCGATTTGGAATTGTTTAAGTATTGTGGAGCTAATCGATGCACCCCTCGAAACATGGGAAAATCCACGAACCCCTCATTTTATCTGTCAAACTTTTATAGAGAATCAAAACAAACATAGTGTAGTACCAGAATTCCAACTAGAATGGGATACGTTAATCGATTTGCCTGGGACCAATAGGCTAGTCAAGTAGTGAACCAATTTAAAATCATTAGTTTCGTATTGATTGTTGGTACCAGAGCTGAGCCAAAAAGTTGAGCTCGTTTCTTCGGGACCTTCTGGTCTTAGAGTTACCTCTATGGTACAACCATAGAGGTAACTCTAAGACCACTGGGTCCCGAAGAAAATCATTATTATTTTTGGCTCACTCAGTACCAGAACAACGGTCCCAAGCAGTCCCAAGCTATTTCACTCACCCCTGCATGTTCTGCATGAATCCACACACCCCTGATGTTATCTGTCAAACTTTCATAGCGAATCAAAACAAACATAGTGTAGTAATAGAATTTCAACTAGAATAGGGTACGTTAATTGTTTGCTTGGGACCAATAGGCTACTAAAGTGGTGAGCCAATTTAAAATCGTTAGTTTCGTATTGATTGTTGGTACAACCATAGAGGTAACTCTAAGACCACTGGGTCCCGAAGAAAATCATTATTATTTTTGGCTCACTCAGTACCAGAACAACGGTCCCAAGCAGTCCCAAGCTATTTCACTCACCCCTGCATGTTCTGCATGAATCCACACACCCCTGATGTTATCTGTCAAACTTTCATAGCGAATCAAAACAAACATAGTGTAGTAATAGAATTTCAACTAGAATAGGGTACGTTAATTGTTTGCTTGGGACCAATAGGCTACTAAAGTGGTGAGCCAATTTAAAATCGTTAGTTTCGTA